TTTTTTGTCTTGTTCTGTTTGTTTGTTTGTTTGCTTGTTTTGAGACAGGGTCTCACTATGTAGCCCAGGCTGGCCTCAAACTCATGGCAGTCCTCCTGCCTGAGACTCCCAAGTGCTGGGATTACAGGCATGTGCCACCATGCCCCACTTGGAGAAAATATTCATGTTAATGATAGACACGACTCTTCATATAGCGTTCTAAACATTGTACTATGTAATAAAACCAGATTTTAGTTGTCTTTATTTTAAAAAGCTTACAGTCTAATTGAGAATTCCACTTTATTGTCATTGATAATAGTAAAACCTCTACTTAAGTGCTTATGATTATGAGGAATTGTGCTGAATGTTTTTCTTTTCTTTCTTTTTTTTTTTTTTTTGGCAGTACTAGGGATTAGACCCAGGGCCCTAGCTTTTTATCTGTAATTATTTATCTTTGCAGAGATATATGTCATCTTTTTCCTTTTAGATTTTGTACTGCTTGAAGGATAGAAACATTTCATAGTATCTATACACAGTAGGTATTTAACATTTGTGCTTTTAATGTCTATACAGTAATCATTTTGCAGTGCTCTTCCTCTTCAAACATTTTTTTTGTGTGGATAACATGCAGTGGATGAGTAGTTGTCACAGGAGGAAGATGAGGACGTTTGCCTCTGATACCCTATTTTATAACTTCTGAACATCTCTTGTACCTCCTTGACCTAAGTGAAGGATACTGCTTTTTATTTTCTCCAACCATAAGTTTCTTAGCATCTGGATCTTCATGTTTACTTCGCTATCTTATATTCAGTCCAAGGATAAAAGTGTTGCTCATTGGTAGAGCGCTTGCCTAACATGTGTGAGGCCCTCAGTTTGATCCCCAGCACTACGAAAACAAAAAAGTTTCCAGTCTTTGGAAGCTATGTCATGTGACCATACTTATTCTCTGCTGTAGACTGCAAACTTCCCGACCATCCCTATATCCTGCTCACTACATCCACACATTGTCTCTCCATTTCTCAGCAAGTGACTCTCTGTCTAAAAATTATTAGATTTCAGGGAGAGGAAAAGCAAGAGAGGTGAAGAGAATATAATTAGGAAAGAGAATGTATCCTAGGTGTTTTCTACCTCTCCACCTGGCATCACCTTTTCCTATGCTTTCTTGTATCTACTATAAGCCAGTGGGTTCAAGTGCTGGTAGATCTCTAAATTACCTGGTAAAATGATAAAGATCAGGGGGGACTGTTCCAGGATTCTGATTACTATCTACACACTTAAGATCCCCAGATATGCATCTCTCACCTAGCTCATATTTGCTTCCAGAATGCAGTTACTCAGCATTTCCATTAGATCACTTATGTTTTAATTGAAATTTATGTTTATTCCCTCTTTTCTTCTAGTAAGGCAACCTATCTTATCCTTTCACTTTCATAGGCTGGAAATCTAGGAGTTACTTTTGACATTTTCCTCATCCTCTCCTCTATTGTCAGCCATTTCCCTACCAAATTCCTCTGACACTCATGCACTCATCCACTTCATTACTAGCACCCTTGTCTAAGTTGATCTCTTTAAATGTACTTATTGGAAAGAGCTGTTGGGTGGGACTAATTAGAACAGGGTCTTTAGAATCAGACTTGGGCTTGATTACTTACTGCCTATGTAATCTTAGACAGATTACCAAAGCTCTGTAAGCTTTGGTTTATGTTTAAAATGGTGATAATAATAATCACTCCAGGATCTGTTGCTAGATTAAATAAAATAGCATGAGAAAATCTCTTAGCATGCCACCTGACACACAGTAAACCTTTAACAAATGATATGTAACTCATTCTTTTAACTGAGCACCTCTAGTGTGCCAGATTTGGGCCACTAGGAATACAGCAATAAACAAAATCAACAAAATTATGGGTTGACAAGTTTGATTATACAACTCTTAACTGGTATGATTAAGATAAAAAGGTAGAAGTAGGAAGGAATATGTATTAGATTTGATATAAGAATCAATTTATAACAGCATGCTCTAAAGAAGTTCCCTTAATTGCCTTTTATCTGTCCAGATCATCAGATCTAGGAGAGCATGGGATATACAGGTCCGAGTTTTAGGAGAGCTCCCAGAGACTGAAGAAAGGCCACTGAGGGACTGTCAGGCTGTATAGATTAATAAGATCGTGAGTATGGTAAGATTAACCATCAGAATTTAAAGAACAAAAAGAATCAAGATAGGTTATATGCACGTACAAATTTCCAAAAACGAGTATCACTGTTCTGTATTGTAAATAGACACTAATAAAGAAAAAGGATGAAAAGGACAGGATCATCTCTGCTGAATACCAACATTTAAAGGTCTGGTTTAAGAGAACACAGAAAAAGAGATTAGGGGCCGGAGATTTAGCTCAGTGGTTCCGGCGCCTGCCTCGAAAACGCAAGGTTCCAAGTTCGATCCCCAGTACCAAAAGAAAAAGAAAAAGAGATTGGGGAGTAACAGTTTTTTTAAAAAAAGATACAATTTTTAAAAACTGTTACTATTGAGGAGGAGGTGTAGGCGGCCGCGACGAGGAGGTGTAGGCGGCCGCGACGGCGGCGGCGGAAGAGGGCGGAGGGTAGTGGGATGGGGGTCCCGCGGCAGCGCTGAAACTCCGGGTGGACGGCCGTGGCGCTGCTGCGCTGCTGCACTGACAGGGCCGGGAGTAGCCTGCCTTCCGCTCTCACCACCTCGGAATAGCCCGTCCTTCCCCGGGGAGCCAGTTCCTCCCCTGGCCCCTGAGCCATGCCCAATGCGGCGGCCCCGGACGAGCCAGGTATGAATTAATTATTTGAAAGCAACTGAAAAATGGAGCCAGACATAATTCGAATGTACTCTTCATCCCCACCACCACTAGATAATGGAGCAGAGGATGATGATGATGACGAATTTGGGGAATTTGGTGGATTTTCAGAAGTTAGCCCTTCTGGCATAGGGTTCGTCGACTTTGATGCACCAGATTTTACTCATCCCAAGGAAGAGTTTATACCTTCAAATCATTTTATGCCAATTCATGATTTCTCAGAAAATGTAGATAGCCTTACAAGTTTTAAGTCCATGAAAAATGGTAATGATAAGGAAATCACTGCTGAACTTTCTACTCCTGTGAAAGGACAGTCTGATGTTTTACTTTCAACCACCAGCAAAGAAATAATTTCATCTAAAACTTTAGATACTTCCATTGATGGCGTGGAAAGTCCAGGAGATTTAAATAAAGTAGTAGAGCAGAAACAGAATGTTGGAACACCTGAAAGTTTTTCTCTAGGAGATTTTAGAACTGATACTAACATAGTTCATCAAAACAGAGAACTGCAATGGTGAAAAGCCTCCTTGTCCGGAGGTTCTAACAAATGGGTTTACAGGGTTGGGAACTGTAAATCCACATGGAACAGATGATCTGGACAGTGTAGCTGATTCAAAGGAACAGAAACCTCTTAGCACTCTTAGCACTGAGTATAATTTAGACACTGCGCCTAGTCCTGCTGAAGGATTTGCAGATTTTGCTACATTTTCCAAAAAGGAAAGGATACAACTAGAAGAAATAAGCTGTGCAGTTTTAAATGATAGAGGTACACTAACTATTCAGGAAAACAACAAAATTAACAGAGTTGATAAAGTGAATTCTATAAAAGAAGTGTCTTTGGATAGAAGCTTTGATGATAAAGGAGATACTGATGGAGAGGATACTTGTGTTTCAGAAATAAGCATAATATCTAACAGAGGTTTCAGTGTTGAAAAAGAAGGCCTTCCAACACTGCAATCAAAGTCATGGAGTTTGGTAGACTCAGCTGATGATTCAGAAGCCATTAGAGAACAGTGTAGAACTAAGGAAGAACTTGATTTATTTTCTGCTAAATGTGCTGA